TGGCAACAGATGCAAGAGCCCCCCCCCCCCCAAAAAAAAAGCACCTCTCTGTGGAGCAACAGCTATGTGGAGTATGATGAATGACGTGAAGTATGTTATTTAGAGAAGTTACAACAAACTAGAGCAAGCACATCCGGTTTATGTTTTTAAGACAGGGTGCCCTGTAGCCTAGATAGATCCTGAGCTCCATACACAGTGGATCAGGGCCTTGAACTCTTAACCTTCCTGCCTCTGCCTCCTGAATTGCCAGGATTACTAGATACGATAGTTTGTTGCTAAATGTTTCCCAAGGAACCACTGTCTAAGCTTCAGCACCCTTATCTTCAAGACGGGACAACAGTTGGGGTCTGCTGTCCAATGGCTGCATTCCCAGCACCAGGGTGGTGGTAGCAGGAAGCCCACACCACTGGAGACTGTCCCAAGTCTCTCTCTCTCTCTCTCTCACACACACACACACAGCACCAACAGAAACCAACCTCAAGCGGGAGAACATCAGGCACCTTCAGGGTGTTATGTCTGAGCCAGCGCCAACACCCTCCCTCCCCGCCATTCCTATCTAGGACAGCGGAAGATTTCATTTCCTCCACCACAGAAGTTCGTCTTGCCTCCGGGTTTTATAACCCAGACCCTAACCCTTGATCCTAACCCGTCAGCCCCCGCACCCCATGTCCCACCTTCTCAGCCATCTTGCTTTGTATTTCCATGTTTCTTAGACAAGTTCTCCCTGATATCAATACATGCTGACTCCTCTCAGAAGCTGCAAAGTAAACAGAAATGTTCTTACCTAACTCCAAGCTAACCCTCTCACCTGCTCAAGTGTCTGCAATGGAGGCTTGGCTCCCAGGGCTCTTCCTTCCTGTCCATTCCTGTCCCATCCCAATGCAATCAGCTTGACAGGGTGAATCAGATCCCTTAAACACCTCTACTGAGGGCTGGCCAGATGGTTGGCTGCCAAAATTGACATCCTGAGTTCAACCTGTAGGACCCAAACGGTGGAAAGAGAGAACGGCTAGGGCTGGAGAGACGATGGCTCAGAGGTTAGGAGCACACCCACTATACTCTTCTAGACGGACCTAAATTCAACTCCCAGCACCCACATCAGGAGCCTCGAAACCACCTGGCTGTAAGTCCAGGGACATCTGACACCTCATCTTTGGGTACCTGCAGTCATGGTCACATACCCAGCCCCACCTGTCCACACGCTCCTCGGCACTTATGGGTATAGGTGGTTACAGGAAATGGAAGAATCGCCTCATGATCCACACCTATAGCAAGACTCATAGACCGCCAAGAAAGACAGATATTTTCATATTCCCAGGGGCCCTCTGGAGGCCCCTGGAGTCAAACCTACATGTGGCCATGACTGGAGGACCATTTGCAGTCATCATCATACCTGTCAAATCCACACATGTCCTCACTGTGCTTGAAGTGATCTTCACGTCATACCAAAGCCCAGTTTATCACCTTTCCTCCTCACACCACTCCCACTAGGGGGAGGGGCTTTCTTGATAGAAAAATCTCAGCTCCCCTCCCTCAGCGCAGACCTCATGTCGGTCTTCCCAGAATTCCCAGTAAGGTAGTCAGGAGCACTGTAGCTATAAAGTTGTGTCTTTACGTTGTCCCTGGTCCCACCGTCACAGGCTTGACAAGCTGATATTCCTACCTGCACACAGGTACCAGCCTCACCCAGCACTTCTGTCCTCCTCATGTCAGACCCGCTCAGGCACCTCTGGGGGCTCCCCGGCCCCTGTAGCTGTGTGGTCCCAGCCTGGCTGCACATGAAGCCGCTTGCAGTGCTGGATCAACCACGTTCCCTGACAACTCCCCCTCCTCCCACACACCCAAAAAGGTTTTTTAAGAGAGCTGGGTTGGGCCTGGGAGGCCAGTCTACAGGTGTCCCTCAGCCTGGGGTTACATCCGGCGAACATCTGATCTCAGAGTCAGTAACCTCATGATGAGGGGGGAGAAGCGGGGCCCCAGTCCCTGAGTCTCCACACTAGCATCTGGACTGGCTTTCCAGCTGTGGCAGCAGCCCTGCCCCTCACACACTCCCAGTCCTCCCTAGCCTCCAGCCCCACTCCACGCCTCGGAGACCTTCCCTTGCAGTTCCCATGACCAGAACGCCTCCCTTCCTTGATTACAAGGTGAATCCCCATTCATCCCGGAACATCTGTCACCAGTGCCGTTTCCTTTGTGGCCTCTCCCAAATCCAAGCGGTGCTTCCCTCCATTCGTCACTCACATTGAGGGCCATTACACACTGGGCACTATAATTACAAAGATAGCACGCCTACTCTGCCTTTGACTCTAGTTGGGGAAGCAGACACATAAACACAGCAAGTTTATTGGTTTTTTTTTTCTTTTTTGTGTTTCATCTTTTCTCCTTATAAAAAGAATGCACACTAATTCTCCAACACTATAGAAAAATAAAATGAGTCCCTCGACGTAACTGTTGCTAATACTTTCATGCGTAATTATCTAGGCTGTAGCCAGTCTTTAAAATCAGGTGTCACACACACATTATTTCGCTGGGTTTAGTTTGGACATCTGTCCTCACGTATTACGAAGCCTCATCTCAATCTTTGGCGGCTGCAGAGCGAGCAAACATATGGCCACACTGTGATGGACACGTCTCCGAGAATGGATTTTTAGATTGTGTCCAGTTCCCTTCTACCCCAGCAGTGTTATGGGAAAAGCCTTGCCAGGTGCCCTGGTGCCTTTGAAAGGAGATGTTCCAGGGACAGACTATTTGCCGCTCTACAGACAGACCAGTTGATAATCGCCCTGAAAGTATCTGAGAGCACCCTGAACAGATACAAGATGGTGCCACTCACACACGAATACAGGCGCTAAGGATGGGGTCTTTCCAGGCCTGGTCAGCCAGGAGCAGGCTGCCCTAGAAGGTGGGTCCAAAGGGAGCAGAGTTTTCTACTTCAAGCAGAGGTAGAGCTGTGGGCAAAGGGAGCTCCAGGTTCTGCAAATCGGTTGTGAAAATTTCCAGTTCTGAAGAACTGGAGGAGACTGGAGCAGGGATCCCAGGCAAGTCAGGACAGGCCCTGCATGCCCAGATGACACAGCCTCGGGAACTCATGTGCTTCACCTAGGGCACATGGCTCAGCGCACAGCAGCAGCCAACTGTCCTGCTGCTCTTACACCTCCGCCCCAGGACCCTTCCCAAGAAACTCGAGACTGCAAATGTGACAGCCCTAGTAGCTGGAGAGGCTCCATCACAGAAGGAACCCTGTCCTCATCTCTGCTCCCCTGTGTCAATGAGTCACTGGACATCCTCCCCATATTGTGTGGGCGCCCTTAGGAGGGCAAATATTCTGTCCCCTTCTTGCTGGGTTTCAGAAGTCAACACGCTGGCTTGCCTTTGCCATCAGAGTCTCTATCTCCAAGCAGCATGCCTAACTAGTGAGATTAGAGTCCTGTTTAGAGCTCTAAGCAGGCCATGATGTTACCAGGCTCACTGTGGTCTTGGGCAAGCTCCTGGAAGAAACCCAAAGTCCCCCAGAGGCTGGAAACCAACTGAAGAAGCATGTAATCCCAATAGCTTGGATCACCCACTGACTGCTCCCTACGAGCCAGGCAACACTCTACATGTAAACTCATTAATCCCGTTGTTACCTCTGCTGTACAAATGGAAACAGAGCGGTGATGTGGGTGCAAGAGGCAGATCTGCTGCTGGGTTACCTGGTGGGGAGCATGTGCCTGCTGGGCATCAGGTGTAGAGGGCTTTCCTGTCTGTGTGTCTGCAGGGATGCTCTGGAAGGGACAAAGCTGCAGTAGCTAGCTTTGGAGAGGTGTCTCAGTGGTCAATGATTGTGAACTTGCAGGGTTGTGGGGCCTTCCAATCTCCGGACCACTTTCAGTGATGCGAACATTGGTGTGGGGCAGGCCACGCTGGCACCCTTCCCTGGACCTCTTCTACTTGTGTCTCTCAAGATTTTAAACATTTATCTTTTTTTCATGTGCATTGGTGAGGGTGTTATGTCCCTTGGAACTGGAATTAAGAGTTACAGATGGTTGTGAATTGCCACGTGGGTGCTGGGAATTGAACCCAGGTCCTCTGGAAGAGTAGTCAGTGCTTTTTTAAAAAATTATTTATTTATTTATTTACTTACTTATTTATTTACTTACTTACTTATTTGAGACAGGGTTTCCTTTGTGTAACTTTGGTTGTCCTGGACTCACTTTGTAGACCAGGGTGGCCTCAAACTCACAGTGATCCACCTGCCTCCGCCTGCCTAAGTGCTGGGATTAAAGGCATATGTCCCCACATCCAGCTTGTTTGCTTTTGTTTTTATTTATTTATTTATTTATTTATTTATTTATTATATATACAGTGTTCTGCCTGCATGTGTGCCTGCAGGCTAGAAGAGGGCACCAGATCTCACTATAGATGGTTATGAGCCACCATGTAGCTGCTTGGAATTGAGCTCAGGACCTTTGGAAGAACAGCCAGTGCTCTTAACCTCTGAGCCATCTCTCCAGCCCTTTAAGATTTATTTATTTTTATTGTTTATAGAGTGTTTTGTCTGCATATACATGTCTGCAGAGGACAGAAGAGGATGTTAGAGTCCCTGGAACTGAAATTAGAGGAATTGTGAGCTGCCCAATATAGGTACTGGGAACCAAACCCCAGGCCCCTGCGAGAGAGGCGTCTTTCTAGACCTCCACCCCAGATTTGAAGATGTAAAGAAAAAAAAGGGTGGGGGAGCTGCAGAAGCAACTCAACTGGTTGTGGAGATAGAAAAAACCCTTAGCAGGGTCTAGATGAAGAGTGTGTCTTGGGGCTTAGGAGCAACAAACCCTCTGGTTTGTTGCCTCTGTGAACAAGTCATCTTCCGTGCTGTGTCTATTTCTACATGGCCTGAGGAGTCACCCTCACTTCCCAGCCTTGTGCTGAGGAAGCTAATGGCTCTCTGGACAGGAAGTGCCTGCCACACGGGCAGGGTGAGGGAAGAGTGGAGGCGGGGTAGGGAAGGGACGGGCGCTTACCTTGGCTTCGAAGAAGTTCTTGGCACCTCTCACACCCTCCAGGGCAACATCAATCTCGGAAAGCTTGGCCAAGGCCAGCAGGCCACTGTCTTCCTGCAGCTCACCAACAGCGGCCTTGTGAAAAATGAGCAGGAACTGCAGGAGGAAGAGGACAAAGACTTACTACTATTCTACTCTTCTGCTGTGTCACCGGGTCATCCATAACAAACTCTCTGGCCTGAGCAAATGCCATTCTTGCCAAGCATTTGAAAAGGGTGAGTTTTTGCCAGATGGTGGTGGCGCCTGCCTTTAATGCCAGCACTAGGGAGGCAGAGGCAGGCAGATCTCTGTGAGTCTGAGGCCAGCCTGGTTTACTGGTCTATATAGTGAATTACAGGACAGCCAAGGCTGCCTTGTAACTTTGGAGAGAGAGAGAGAGAGAGAGAGAGAGAGAGAGAGAGAGAGGTGCCTTTAAATTTTTTTGTTTATATTTTTTAATTAAATGCATATGGACACATGTGTGGGTGCAGGTATCCACAGACTTCAGAAAAGGGCACTGGAACCTGTTGACCTGGAGTTACTGGCAGTTGCAAGCTGCCTGGTCTAAGTATTAGGAACCAAACCTGGATCCCCTGCAAGAGCAGCAAGCACTCGTAGCCATCTCTCCAGCCCTGAAAAGCGTGTTTATGCCTATGTCTGTGTGGATAATTATTTTGCTCCTTACCAGATCATCAGGACCAAAAGCACAGGGTCAACGGCATAGCCCAGTGGCAAAGCACACGGTCAGTGTGAATAAGGACGTGAATCGGATCCCCAGCACCAAACACATTAATTGAATTAAAATATTGTTCTCTCCTCCATCCACTAATGTGACTGTTGGGAATTTATCCCTCAGAAATCCACACAATCGGGTCAGAGTAGGCCGGTTCAGGAAAGCCCTGGGTTCAGTCCCTAGTAAGTGCTTCATAAACTAGATAGGGTGGTGTAGGCCTATAATCCTAACATTTCCTTCTTTCTTTGAGACAACGGTCTCACTTTGTAGGCTTGGCTGGGCTAGGCCTGGCTATGTCGACTGGGAAGGCCTCAAACTCATAGAAATCCACCTGCCTGCTCTGCCTCCTGAGTGTTGGGACTGAAGGCATCGGTCTAGCTCACGTTTATTTCCCTGTTTGTTTTTAGCCTGTTGTCTGAGTATCGGCATGCAGGGTCCACAGCGTATGAGTAGAGATCAGAGGTCAAGGCAGGCATCAGTTCTTGGCCTCCACCTTACTGAGGCAGGGCATGCCTTGCTTCTGTCACTGCTGTCTGCTTGAGACTAGCTCACCCTCCAGCTTCCCATCTCCCCGCAGGAGTGCTGGGCTCACAGACATGTGCTAACACACCCAGCTTTCTACACGTGTTCCGGGGATTAAACATCAGTTGTCAGGCTTGCACAACCAGTACAGCTGGAGCCTCTGCCCCAGTGGTTGCCAACCTTCCTGACGCTGACCCTTTAATACAGTTCCTCATGCTGTAGTGAGCCCAGTCATAACATTGTTTTTGTTGCTGCTTCATAACTGTGATTTTGCTACTGTTAGGAATCGTATTGTAAATACCTGATATTTGGCTATCTGATGTGACCCCCAAGGGGTCGCAACCCACAGGTTGAGGACCATGCTCTATCCATTCAGCCATTTCCCCCAACTCCTATACACTATTTTTAATGAAGCGTGTGTGTGTGTGTGTGTGTGTGTGCGCGCGCGCGCGCGCGTGTGTGTGTGTGTACACCATGGCACGTGTGGAGGTCAGAGGACAACTTACAGAAGCCGATTCTCTTCTCACGTGACTCCCTGAGAGTAAGCCCAGCTCACCATGTCTGGCCTTTACACACTGAGTCATCCCCCGCGCCCCATCTGCACCGCACCTATTTTTTTTTAGATTTATTTATTTACTTACTATTTATACCGTAGACTGCCTGCATGTGTACTTGTCCAACAGAAGAGGACACCAGCTCTTACTACAGATGGTTATGAGCCACTGTTGTATATGGTAGCTGGGAACTGAACCCGAGTTCTTTGGAAGAGCAGCCAGTCTCTTAACCTCTGAGCCAACTCTCCAGCCGCCCACCCGCCTTTTTAATATCTTTCAGTCACTTCTATTTTCCTCACGTGTCCTGTTTTTCCTGTGGTTTACTAAGAGATCTCTGTGGGCCTTAGTATACTTAGAACGTGTTAGCTCTGCTCCTTGTCATTTTAGTGTTATGGTTGCGGTTATTTGTTGTTGTTGTTGTTTATACACATGCCAGAACACACATGTGGAGGTCAGAGGACAGCATGCAAGAGTCAGTTCTCTCTTCTCACCATGTGGGTCCCGGGATGGAACTCAAGGTTGGCAGGCTTGGCATCAGATTGCCTCTATCCACCAAGCCTACCTCATCAGCCCTGTTGATTACTTTTTGTTTGTTCTTTGCTTTTTATGAGACAGGACTCCTCTGTGTGGTCCTGGCTGTTCTGGAACTCCCTCTGTAGACCAGGCTGGCCTCAAACTCACAGAGGTCTACCTCCCTCTACCTCCTGGGTGCTGGGATTAAAAATGTTCAACGCCACAATGGCTCTGTTTATGAATTTTGAGATGCAAGAGTCTCACTGTGTTGCTGGTCTCAGCTGATACTCCAGTGTGGGCTCCCAGAGCGAGCGAGCCCACCCATGTGTGCTGCTGTTCCTGGGTTCTTTATGGCAGTTTTTGACTTGGGAAAAATGTTTACATAAAGTCTGTCAAATCTTTTTCTTTCCTGTTACCAGAGGCGGCTTAGGAAAATGTTCTTCAACACCAAGGTTACATAAACAGTCAGGTATGTTTCTGCCTGGTATTTTTATGGCTTTTTTTTTTAAACACGTAAATATTTAATCTCTCAAATGTATTCTGTTCTATTGGGAGGGTAATCATTAACTTTATTTTCCTCCAAACGGTTACTTAGTAAGTCCCACATTTTGTGTGTGTGTGTAATCCACTCTCTTCTTCCACATTTAAAATGTATAACCTGAACAAAGTAATCTTTGAGGTCAATTGTATTAGGGCCTCTACAGAATAAATTCTTAAATACAAGTCCCTCCTCCTCCTCCTCCTCCTCCTCCTCCTCCTCCTCCTCCTCCTCCTCCTCCCCTCCTCTCCCAGGGTTACTTTCTGATTATTTCTCTTCTTTGTAATTTTCATAAAGCTAACATCGTGGCTCACACATGTAACATCAATGTCAGGAGGCTGAGGTAGGAGGATTGCCAACAGTTTCAGGCCAGCGTGGGCTACGGTGTGAAACCCTAGCCCAAAGTAAATTTTAAAAACCCTGCAAATTAAAAAAAAAAAAAAAGCTTTATTACCTTTTATTCATTTTGTCTATGGCACGCCATGGTGTATGTATGGGGGTCAGAGGACACTTGGTCGGTTCTCTTCTATCATGAGAGCCCCAGGGATTGAATTCAGGTTATCAGGCTTTAACCCCACAGAAACCTACAAGTTGTGGGAGGGGGGCAATGGAGAAACGGATCCCTGGTTAAGAGCACTTGTCCTTGCAGGGACACCCAGAGTTCTTCCCAGCACCCACAGGGTGGCTCATCTATAGCTCCAGTTCTAGGGGCTCCGACACCCTTTTCTGGCCTCTGCACAGCACATGTATGTGCATACATGTCGGCAAAACTTTCATACACATAAAATAAATGAGCTTTTCAAAAATTTGCAAATTTATCTGCCTAAGAAGTGCCGTGCAGTTTTCCACATCTTTAACGGCCACTTGCCCTAAAGAATGCCTTTCTGAAAGACAATCAACCACTCAACAGGCTTCCCAGCTCCCAGCTCCAGTGTCTTTGCTCCCAAGGCCTGAACTCCCTGCTTCCTGTTTTTCACTCAGCCCTCACCCTGCTGGGGACACTGGTGAGTCCTAATCCAAGAGATGAAGTGAGGTGTGCAGGGACTTGTGGCTTCCCTGAGGTCCCCTGGGCCACCCCACCCACCTGCAGCTCCCGGCTCTCTCACTAGAGGCCAGCAAAGACTCAGTTTGCAGCAGTTCGTAGAGCCAGCAACATTGGCTAGAGTGAAAACTAGCCTGTCAAAAGGAGGCCAGGCACCCAGCAATGGGATAGAGGCCAGGAGGATGGAGACAATGGTAGCTGCTGCCGTCTCTCTTGGCTCTCTCCTCTCTCTCCAAAGAGATGGACGCAGTAAAGACTTCGGCAGTGCAGATGTGAACTGTGGGATGAGGTAAATGCCTGTCCCTCAGTGCATGGTTCCTGTGATGCCAGGTCCTTAGTCCAAAAGTGTTGAGAGATGGTGGCCTTAAGAAGACTAACAGGCCACTGAGAGGGAGGATGCTTTTTTCAGGGGTTTCACATTATGAAGGGGGCTTAGTTGCTTCCTGTTCTTCTCTCACTGTGATGCTCTCTCTGCCACACTTACCTTTGCTTTCCACCCTGAGTTCAAGCAGCACGCAGCCTGTGCCAGGGCTATGCAGAGGCCGGTGCCATGCCCTTGACTCCCAGAACTGCAGGCCAAGACAAACTTCTTTTCCTTCTAAATTACCCCGGCTGGGACATTCTGTTACTGCAGCAGAAACTAGGCCAAACACCTAGCCATCCTTAAAGCACTTCATTTACTGGAGGACTCCACGAGGCGCTGCCTTCCACAGCAATACTTCTCAGGGACCCAAGGAGACCACTCAGGAAAGAGCGAGCGCTTTCCCAGATCAGCATCCAGGGAGTCTCCATTCCCCAGACCCAGTTTTCCTGAGCTGGTGGGATAGCTCACAGTGTTTGCCATCAAGCCTGACAGCCTGAGTTTGGTCCCCAGGGCCCATGTGATGGAAGCTGTCCTCTGACCTCCACAGGTGTACCGTGGCACCCCTGAACCCCTTCCCCCTCAACACAAAATTAAAAAAAAATACGGCATAGTTTTAAAAGTTTAAGTGGAGGTGACAGGGTTCACATTCACAGAAGGGCATTGTGAGCCTGAAACATGAACAAATCCCTCAGGCCTCTTCCAGCACTGTTTGTTCTGAGTCCTGAGGTCCAAGACTGTACAAGTTCACTCTGCCAGTTAACAGATGATCAACAGCATCCCTGTCATAACTCAGGGGCTCCCAACCTCAGTCAGACAAAAACAAACAAACAAACAAACAAACAAAAACAATCCAGTTCAACCTGAATGCATCCAGCACACCAGGCACTCCCATTTCACCCATTTATACTCACTCACTGCCCTGAATGACAATCTCCTTCACTGCCCAACCTTGTTTGTTTTCCTATTTATAGTCCACAAAGACTGGCATGGTGTTGAGTTGGAAAATGTCCAAGCTGTGACTCCGGGGAAAGGGAGAGGGAAGGAGAGGCAGAGAACAAAGACAGAGGGCAGAGGGAGCTAGCACAGCTCAGAAGCTCCTTCAGCCATAAGCCTATCGATGCTGTCCTGAGACTGAGGGAATTTTTAATTTCAAGACTGTGGCTAGAGGTGTACAAATACTTCCTGTGTTAGAGCTCTTCATTTCTAAGTGACAGAAATACATTTCCTATTTTAGGACAAAGGTAACTCCCTATAGAGAAAGGATGTGTCAAGAACCCAAGGGTGGGCTGACAAGATGGCTCAGCGAGAAAAGATGCTTGCTGCCAAGGCTGACAACTTGAGTTCAAGCCCTGCACTGACATAGAAGGGGAGAACTGACTCCTCCAAGTTCTCCTCTGATCTTCACACATGCATGGAGTCATATATGTTTCATACAGTAAATAAGGTCCTGCTTTATGCAAAATCCTGTCTTTAGAGATGGAAAGATGGCTCCACAGTTAACAGAATTTGCTGTTCTTGTGGAGAACCCAGGTTTGATTCTCGGCTCCCACATGTCAGCTTACTACCGTTTATAATTCCCGTTCCAGGAGAGCTGCTGCTCTCTTCTGCCCTCACGCACCAGGCACATGCGATACACAGGTGTACATCAGATAAAACATGTATACACATATTTTTAAACATGTTTTCTAAGACCCTGTCTTAACTTTCCCCACTCCTAATATAACACACACACACACACACACACACACACACACACACAAGTGAGAGTTAAGAGCAGGAGAGAGAGAACCACCCGACTGTGGTGATACATGCCTATAATTTCCAGCACTACGGAGGCTAAGACAGGAAGACTGCTGTGTGTTCAAAGCCAGGTGGACTATATAGTGAGTTCAAGGATGGTATATACAACAGAGTGAGACTCTGTCTCACCGAAAAGGCCAGAAAGAATTCCAGGTGGCCAGGCATGCCGGGACAAGACTACAGTTCCAGCACTTGGCAAGCTAAAGCAGAAGGATCTACGTCTGAAGCCAGCCTGACATAGATTCAGTCTTCAGAAAAGAAGGAGAACTTGCTCAAGGGGCACAGCAGTGCTGCTCTGACATCTTGAGGTCTGAATTCCAGCCCAGGAGGCTTGGCCCTGGGTGAATACAGTAAAGTAAAATCAAACAGCAAAGTGTAGGCTATGGGGTCTAGATGGTCTTATACTTCCAAATCCACATACCTGGGACAACCTGGAAACAGGACGAAGACAAAGCTTGGATCTCACAAAGGACTGATGCCAATGTCATTGGAGCCTCTTCAAGGGGCCAAGCTCTGACCAAACTGCTTTGGAGGTCACCAAGCCTACTCTTGTGAGAAATGGCCATCCTGGAAACTAATGAAAAGATGGCCAAGTAGCTTAGCCTTAGTGATCAATTGGATCACCTATGGGTACCCTCTGAATAGAATAGGAGAAAGGAAGCTGAAGAGATGGCTCAGTAGTTAAAGTACTGCTCTTGATCCCAAGGGCCCAGCTGACTCAGAACCTACAAGAGGACAACAGAAGATGGTCTAATTCTACCATTCAGTCATTAGGATGCTGTCACAAGTTATATGACATCATGCCCAACTGAAACATCTCGAAGCCTTACACACACACAAAGAAGCGAAGAAGTCAGGCATAGTAATCTTCCTGCCTCAGCCTTCATGTACCTGGATAACAGACAAAAGCAACCAAGAAAGATTTTTTTTTGCTGTTGTTGTTGTTTGTTTTTGTTTTGAGACAGGGTCTCGTCTCATGTAATTCACTATGTAGCTGAGACTAGCCTTGAACTTATGATCCTCCTCTATCTCTTGAGAGCTGGGATTATAGGAACATGCCACCCACACAGTTTACAAAAGATGTATTTGAAAGTTGAATTGACCCAAGGACCATACATAAACTAGGTCCCCTACAAAGATGTAGCAGATGGTCAATTTAGGCTTCAGGTGGGTCCTCTAGTGAGGGAAGTGGGGACTACATCAGAAATAGACTCACTTGCCAGCTTTTAGATCACTTTCCCCTGGCCGGACTGCCTTGACAGGCCACAGGGGAAGAGGACACATTTAGTCCTGATGGAACTTGTGAGCTGGGGTGGATGGGAAAGGGAGCACCCCTTTTCTGAGGAAAAGAGGAGGCGGGAGGAGGAGGGAGAGAGGATGAGATGGGGAGGGGAGGCAGGAAGGGGTTGCAAGGATGTAAAGTGAATAAAATAAAGGAGGAAAAAGGCTGAGTTGATGATTAAATATCTAATCAGAGAGCACTCTCAAGAGGCAACCTCATTTGCACTCAGGGGCTGTAGACTGGGGGTCTTTTCAGCTCAGCAGGCCATAGGTACCTCCCGGAAGCTGAGCTTGCCATCGAAGTCTTCATCCACCTCCTTGATCATGCTCTTCAGACCCAGGTGGGTCTGGGGGGCTCCTAGTTTCTCCATCATGAGCTTCAGCTCCATCAGGTCGATAAAGCCATCCCTTCCAGCATCATACCTGCAAGGCCCAAGGGGGCAAGGTCAGGACAAAATGACGCGTGTTAGCTTCCCAGAGGTGTAACTCTTGGTTTCATCTACTGAAAAGTAACTCAGCAGCCTTCTGCTTTGCAAGGTTCTTCAGGCCACTTTGCCATAAGGAACCCCTCAAGGCTGCCTCATCAGAAGAGAACCCTCTCCCTCTTCTAGTAAAAAAGCTGTCATTGAGCTTTTCAGACTCAAAACAGACCTTGTTTAACATGTTGATTTTCTTTCTTTTTAAAAGATTTATTTATTTATTTATTTATTTATTTATTTATTTATTTATACAGTATTCTGCCCATATGTGTGCCTGCAGGCCAGAAGAAGGCACCAGATCTCATTATAGATGGTTATGAGCCACCAAGTGGTTGCTGGGAATTGAACTCAGGACCTTTGGAAGAACAGCCAGTGCTCTTAACTTCTAAGCCATCTTACCAGTCTCCAACGTGTTGATTTTCATGTCTTTTATCTTCTTCATTTTTAGTCAAACAACACTGACCCAACAGGTCCAAATGTTGGACTCTGGGCATATATAGTGGGACATGCTCTGGAACCCAAGAGATGCTACATTCAGTAGTGAACCTTCCTGTTGGTCACCCTTCTGGTGTCTCTGCCACAGCTATTCCTAGCAATCCTCTTACCATCCTCTTGTGTGTCTCGTGTCCGTCTATCTTTATAAGCTGCTTTTCACCCCACCTACAGATGTGAAGTGGCCTCACCCAGGGTGGCTGGCCCCTCTGCTGGCTGTCACTCTAGCCAAGGACTCTTGCCTGGAAATAAGGCCAGCTTCGTGAAATGGGAGGTCTACCTTGACCCCTTCTCTCCTTGAGCCAGCCATCTTCAGGTACCTGCTCCTGGCCTCCTCCTAGCCACTTCCTACCCAGGTTCCTTTTCTATACATATGGCCTCACAGGACTTCCCAAGGGCTCCTTGTCTCCCTTCCCAGTGAGTCCTTCTTATACTTCCTGCCACCCAGAGACTCTTTGTCGCAGGTCTAAACATCCTGCTTTAAAGAATATATAGAGGGTCCCAGCACTCTGGAGGCAGACAGATCTCTGATGAGTTCCAGGACAGGCGGGCCTCTGTAGAGAGGCCATGTGTCAAAAAACAAATAAAAAGAACATATAAGGGGCTTGGGATGAAGTTCTATGAAAGAACACCTGCTTAGCATTAGGAGGAAGACCCTGATTTCACTGCCCAGCAGCATATGCACAGAAACAAGAATGAATCAGGACTCCAGAGCCAAGAGATGGGAACCAAGAGTCCAGGGACGGACGGGCTGCTAAGCACAAAGGGCTCACCCATACAGTGGAGTGCAGAGTAGTCACGGAATGGAATAGTCTCCAGCAACAACAACGACAGAGAGCTCTGATATGTGTGACGTCAGGGATGCCACAGTAAGCGAATTAAGTCAGCCACAAAAGGACATAGAAGGCTGAGGGTGCTCCCCTCTGTCCGCCCTGGGGTTGCAGGGATGGCTTAATGGGTGGAAATTCAATCTGGGGTAAGGAAAGGGTCAAGTTCCTGGTGCACCGCTGTGAGCGTGCTGTATCCCCCTCCTCTGTGCTCACTGAGATGGTTAAAACGGCCATTTTCTAGCCTTTGTCTTTCATTTTTATTATTTTTAATTCTGTGCATGTATGTGAATCTGTGTGTGGATATGTGCACATGAGTGCCAGTGGCGACAGGGGCTAGAAACTTCAGGAGATGAAGTGTCAGGAGCTTGTGAACCCCCTGGTGTGGGTGCTGGGAACGGAAATCTGGGTCCTTTACAAGTTCCGTACTCACTCTTAACCATTGAAGCATTATGGGTCCAGCCCCTCTGTGTGTCTCCCTCCTCTCTCTCTCTCTCTCTCTCCGTGTGTGTGTGTGTGCGTGAGTGTGTGTGTGCGCATGTGTGTGCATGCACATTTAGATAGGGTTTTCTGTAGCTCAGACCAGCCTCAAATTCACTCTGAACCTCCCAGGAGCTGGATTACAGTTGTGTGCAACTACACCAGCTTGAAGTAGTCATTTTTGCCCATTTGACCATATTTTTAAAAAGCTACGTTCAGTCTTTTTCACTGTCCATCGGCCCCCACCCCCATAGAGAAAAAGAACCTCTGTCGAGAGCCGCCACTACTCAGCAAGTTGCTGGTGGGCAACCGCACAGCTAAGCTGTGGGCAGTGATACCGAAGTCTACACTGTCATGCTGGGGGAGGGCCCAGGACCCCCTGACACACCAACACACTCCACTCCAGCCACAGTGGCTGGTTCATGCTGCTCCACCCATCGCGGACGCGGGCACCCCTCCCCCTCCTCCTCTGTGGCCTTCCTGTTCCCCAGCAGCATCCATTGTATGTCCTTGTCTGGCACCAAAATTCACCGCCCTCTTCTGTTGGCTATTTTTTTTTTTCTCAAGCTCTCTGGGCTAACACTGGGCAGGCACAGCCTAATTGCTGGAAGAGTTACTCTCTAACTCTCTAAAGGACGCAGCCAAGATGTCTGTGTGACCGGTAATGCTCTCTGAGAAAATCTCTTCCTCCCTCCCTCTCCTCCTCCTCTCTCTCTCTCTTAGTTTTTTGAGATAGGGTTTCTCTGTGTAGCCTTGGCTGCCTGGACTGGCTTTATAGACGAGGCTGGTCTTCAACTCACAGCGATCCACCTGCCTCTGCCTCTCTGAGTGCTGGGATTAAAGGCCTGTGCCACCACGCCTGGCTGAGAATCTCTTAATATGGGTGTCTGGAAATGAACAGGGTGCCTCCGGGTTTCCAGATGGGCCAGCCCCAGGGACCTTGAGGAACGAACGGATGATGTGTGAGCACTTAACAGTGCTAGTGCCCGGGTGGCCAATGTCTGTAATTCCAAACCCTCATGAAGCCGAGGCAAGACTATCCCAGTGAGCTTAAAGCCAACCTGGTCTATACGGCTTGAAAACCTATCTCAAGATAATTAAAAACCTATTTCCACGGGTTTGCCAAATCTGACTCAGCACAGGCCTCATGTGCCTAAGATCAAAGCTGTAGGGCTAAATAATGTGACTTGGTGGCACAGCCCTCGCCTGCATTGTGTGAGGCTCTGAATTATACTCCTAGGGCCAGAGCCATGAAAACAGGTGTTTGAGCTATTCACACACACCCCCTTTTTTTGGCTATCATAAATGACGCCACTTTGGGGCTGAAGATATGGCACAGTGCTTAAGAGCATGTATTGTTCCTGCAGAGAATCCAAGTTCCCAGTACCCAAGTTAGAAAGCCTACATCCACCTAAAATTCCAGTCCCAGGGGAGCCAATACCTTTTTCTGGCTGCTACACATATGGGGCTACACACGGCAAACATGCATATAATAAATAAATAAAAATAATATGTAAAAGCCGGGCACGGTGGCGCACACCTTTAACCCCAGCACTTGGGAGGCAGAAGCAAGCAGATCTTTGTGAGTTTGAGGACAGCCTGGTCTACAAAGTGAGTCCAAGACAGTCAGGGCTACACAAAGAAACCATGTCTGAAAAAAAAAAAGTAAAAACATGTCTTAAAACAGAAATTCTTTAGAAGTCTAACCTATTTTTTTTTTAATGATGTCATGCTGAAGACATAACCTACTTGAGTCCTAGACCATGAAGAAATCAAGCTGGTCCTTACTGGATTCATCCTTATTGGCTAGCCTTCACAGCGCTGGAAGGTGCTATGGACACTGATGGGGAGAAAAGTAATTATCACTCGTACACAACTGTGACCCCGCTGAGATAAAACAATAACCTCCCTGGCAAGACGTGGCCATTGGTGTAATGGTTGCACAAGTGGATCTTCATTGGCTTTCAGGACCATCCCACAAGTTGAAACCCAGCATTTTGGGCCAAGAACCTGTGGCTAAATAGGCCATGGGCCCTAGAGAGAATTTGCTACTATCATTCTGCTAAATGTACATAATGTTTAATAATAATAATAATGTAATAACTGACTCCTGATGACTTATTGTTATACCCACAGATTAGTGTATTAGCAACTCTCAGAGAAGCCTCTCTCTCTCTCTCTCTCTCTCTCTCTCTCTGCGCCGTAGATGGTGGTTAACACAGAGACCCACAACTGTCAAGCTGCAAAGAACGAGAGACTGCAGAATGCTCAGTCCCAAGTAGGAGATAGATCTCATATCTCCTCCTCCTAGGGCTCAAGGGTCCTGGTGGAAGAGGGGGCAGAGAGATTCTAAGAGTCATAGGTGATGGCTGACTAAAAGGAAACTGTATTTTGAACTAAGGACATTTTAAACATCACGAATAAGACCTATGCAGACTCAGGCCAGATAAAATTCTGGCCTGGAGAGGAGAGGTGGGCATGAAACCCCACCCCTAGCTAAGAAGGCATTGGCAGTTGCTAGTTGAGAGTTTTAGGGGTGTGACCCCTGGTTGGTAGACCTGTCTTTAATGTAAGCCATATATTCAAGACCAAGAGTACAGGGGCAGCATAAACTGTACTTGTACTTGATGGGTTTGAAAAAAAAAAAAAAAAAGGACACAAAGTTGGGTAGATAGGGAAGTGGGGGTAGATCTGGAAGGAGTTAGGAGAGGGAGCAGATATTACTAAAATGCATTGTACTAATAAAAATGATCTCACTTTGGCAACTGGGAAAAAGTGTTCCTGTGTTTCAGTTTGCTTGGCTCTGTGCCTGAAGGTGAACTGCTGGGATGGCATAGACTCATCTACTTTTGAAACACAGATACCACGCTGGTCCAATAGAAAACCATGGCCAAGCTGATGCCTCTGCTCATGTAAGTAAGGCTCTCCATTAGGTGCTCGTGGGAGACTCAGAGGTGCATCTGAGCCATACAGGGAAGGTGGTCTCAGATCTGTCAGGGAAGAGTCTAGGCCCCAAACATCTCACTGAGTTGGGGCAGGTGGATAGCTCAGCGGGTAAAGACCTTGTTACATAAGCCTGACATCCCAGAGACTGCCTGAAGGTGGAGGAGAGAACCAACTCTTCCACGTTATCTTCTCACATCCA